ATAGTAAAGAAGCTGCCCTTGAACCTTTTGTAACCATGAAAGCCTGGAATGGCAATAAGTATCTAGTGATATCTAGTGATCTAGTGATAATCACCCTAAATGTAAATGGTCTGAATGAACCAATCAAAAGACAAAGAGCTACAGAATGGATAAAAAAGCAAGACCCATCTATATGCTGCCTACATGAGACTCACCTCAAACCCAAAGACATGCACAGACTAAAAGTGAAGGAATAGAAAGAGATATTTCATGCAAACAATAGGGAGAAAAAAGTAGTAGTTGCAATATTTGTATCAGACAAAATAGACTTCAAAACAAAGAAAGTAACAAGAGACAAAGAAGGGCATTACATAATGTAAAGGGGTCCGTCCAGCAAGAGGATATAACCATTATAAATATCTATGCACCCAACATAGGAACACCTACATATGTAAAACAAATACTATCAGAATTAAAGGAGGAAACAGAATGCAATGCATTCATTTTAGGAGACTTCAACACACCACTCACTCCAAAGACAGAAAATAAGTAAGGAGACAGAGGCACTGAACAACACATCAGAACAGATGAACCTAACGGACATCTACAGAACTCTACATCCAAAAGCAGCAGGATATACATTCTTCTCAAGTGCACATGGAACATTTTCAAGAATAGATCACATACAAGGCCACAAAAAGTACCTCAGGAAATTCAGAAAGATTGAAATTATACTAACCAACTTCTCAGATCACAAAGGTATGAAACTAGAAATAAATTGTGCAAAGAAAACAAAAAGACCCACAAACACATGGAGGCTTAACAACATCCTCCTAAATAATCAATGGATCAATGACCAAATTAAAGCAGAGATTAAGCCTTATATGGAGACAAATGAAAATAATTGCTCAATGCCTCTAGTTCTGTGGGATGCAGCCAAGGCAGTTATAAGAGGAAAGTATATAGAAATTCAGGAATATTTAAAGAAGGAAGAATAATCCTAAATGAACAGTCTAAATATACAATTAATGAAACTGGAAAAAGAGGAACAAATGAGGCCCAAAGTCAGTAGAAGGAGGGACATAAAGATCTGAGAAGAAATAAAATAAAACTGAGAAGAATAAAACAATAGAAAGAATTAATAAAACCAAGAGTTGGTTCTTTGAGAAAATAAATATAATAGAGGAACCCTTAGCCAGACTTTTCAAGAAGAAAAGAGTCTACACACATAAACAGAATCAGAAATGAGAAGGGAAAAATCACTACAGACACCACAGATATACAAAGAATTATTAGAGAACTATGAAAAATTATATGCTAACAAATTGGATGATTCAGAATAAATGGACAACTTTCTAGAAAAATACAACCTTCCAAGAATGACTAAAAAAGAGAAAATCTGAACAGACCAATTACCAGCAATGAAATTGAATTGGTAATGAAAAAACTATCCAAGGACAAAAACCCTGAACCAGATAGCTTCACTGCTGAATTTTATCAGACATTTAGAGAAGACCTTAAAGTTTTCCAAAAAGTAGAAGAGGAGGGAATACTTCCAAACTCATTCTGTGAGGCCAGCATCACTCCAATACCAAAATCAGAGAAAGACACCACAAAAAAAGAAAATTACAGACTAGTATCACTGATGAACACAGATGTAAAAATACTCAACAAAATATTAGCAATCCAAATTCAAAAATACATCAAAAAGATCGTTCATCATGATCAGGTGGGAATTATTCCAGAGATGCAAGGATGGTACAATATTTGAAAATCCATCAACATCATCCACCCACATCAACAAAAAGAAGAACAAAAATCACACTATCATCTCCATAGTTGCCAAAAAAGCATTTGACAAAATTAAACAACCATTCATGATAAAAACTCTCAAGAAAATGGGTATAGAGGGCAAGTACCTCAACATAATAAAGGCCATATACCACAAACCCACAGCCAACATCACATGTTACAGTGAAAAGCTGAAAGGTTTTCCTTTAAGATCTGGAACAAGACAAGGATGCCCACTCTCCCCACTTTTATTCAACATAGTACTGGAGGTCCTAGCCATGTCAATCAGACAACACAAAGAAATAAAAGGCATCCAGATTAGCAAGGAACAAGTTAAAACTGTCACGGTTTGCAGATGACATGATATTGTGCATAAAAAAACCCTAAAGAATCCACTCCCAAACTACTAGAACTAATATCTGAATTCAGCAAAGTTGGATACAAAATTAAGACACAGAAATCTGTCACATTCCTATATACTAATAATGAACTAGTAGAAAGAGAAATCAGGAAAACAATCCCATTCACAAGAATGAAATATCTAGGAATAAACCTAACCAACAAAGTGAAGACCTATATACCCTGAAAACTACAGGACAGTGTTGAGAGAAATCAAAGAAGACATGAATAAATAGAAACATATCCCATGCTCATGGGTAGGAAGACTTAACATTGTCAAAATGGTCATCCTGCCTAAAGCAATCTACAGATTCAATGCAATCCCTATCAGAATACCAATAGCATTCTTCAATGAAGTACAACAAATAGTTCTAAAATTCATATGGAACCAGAAAAGACCCCAAATAGCCAAAACAATTCTGAGAAGGAAGAATAAAGTGGGGGGTGGGGGAAATTACACTACCCAACTTCAAGCTCTACTTCAAAGCCACAGTAATCAAGACAATTTGGTACTGGCACAAGAACAGACCCATAGATCAATGGAATAGAATAGATAGAATAGAGAGCCCAGATATAAACCCACACATATATGGCCAATTAATATATGATAAAGGAGCCATGGACATACAATGGAGAAGTGACAGCCTCTTTAACAACTCATGTTGGCAAAACTGGACAGCTACATGCAAGAGAATGAAACTGGATCACTGTCTAACTCCCTACCCAAAAGTAAACTCAAAATGGATCAAAGACATGAATATAAGTCATGAAACCATAAAACCCTTAGAAGGAAACAGACACAAAAATATCTTGAATATAAATATGAGGAACTTTTTCATGAACGTATTTCCTTGGGCAAGTGAAACAAAAGCAAAAAATGAACAAGTGGGACTACATTAAACTACAAAGCTTCTGTATAGCAAAGGACACCATCAGTAGAACAAAAAGGCATCCTACTGTATGGGAGAATATATTCATAAGTGACATATCCAATAAGGGGTTAACATCCAAAATATATAAAGAGTTCACGTGCCTCAACACCCAAAAAGCAAATAACCTGATTAAAAAATGGGCAGAGCATCTGAACAGACACTTCTCCAAAGAAGAAATTTATATGACCAACAGTCACATGAAAAGATGCTCCTCATCACTAATCATCAGAGAAGTGCAAATTAAAACCACAATGAGATATCACCTCACACCAGTTAGGATGGCCAACATCCAAAAGACAAGCAACCACAAATGCTGGAAAGGATGTAGACAAAGGGGATCCCCCTTACACTGTTGGCGGGAATGTAAATTAGTTCAACTAGTCTGGAAAGGAATATGAATGCTCCTCAAAAAACTCAAAATAGAAATACCATTTGACCCAGGAATTCCACTCCTAGGAATTTACCCAAAGAAAAGAAGATCACAGATTGAAAAACACATATGTACCCCTATGTTTATTGCAGCACTATTTACAACAGCCAAGATATGGAAGCAACCTAAGTGTCCATCAGTAGATGAATGGATAAAGAAGATGTGGTATATTTACACAATGGAATATTACTCAGGCATAAGAAGAAAACAAATCCTACCATTTGCAATGGATGGAGGGTTTTATGCTCAGTGAAATAAGCCAGGCAGAGAAAGACAAGTACCAAATGATTTCCCTCATTTGTGGAGTATAACAACAAAGCAAAACTGAAGGAACAGAACAGCAGCAGACTCACAGAACCCAAGAATTGACTAGTGGTTATCAAAGGGAAAGGGGTTGGGGAGGGTGGGTAAGGGGATTAAGGGGTATTATGTTTAGTGCATATAATATAGGGGTGGCACAGGGAAGGCGGTATAGCTCAGAGAAGACAAGTAGTGACTCTATAGCATCTTACTACACAGATGGACAGTGTCTGCAATGGGGTGTGCAAGGGAGACTTGATAATATGGGTGAATGTAGTAACTACAATGTTGTTCACTTAAAACCTGAGGATAAGATTGTGTATCAATGGTACCTTAATAAAGAAAAAAAAAAAAAGCAAAGCAGTGCTTTTCACCAATACGTTTATGTGTTTTTACTTACAGTATTTAATATTTTGATATTTCAAGTAATAGTAAAGTAGGACATATGTTAAAAAAAAAACACCAGCAGAAAGGAATTTTTTAAAATCTGAGGAAATCAGATACTTCATTTTTTGGTCTCCAGACAGAGGTGCATATAGAAGGTATTTAATGAATATTTTGAATTGAATAGACTCAGTAGCCAGTTAACTCAAAACACACTTAATTCAATACATATACACACAGAAAATGGCAGCCCTCTTACAGAGTTGTACCCAGGAACTAAAAAGCATGATGGTCTAAACCTTAAGTGGAAATATAAATCTCTAAACACAGTATGTCACCTGAGCACATATATTTTTTATTCTGACATTTTGTGTTTCCAGCTGGTATTACCTTTGTAAATTTTCATAGAAAGAGCTACTTATCATTACCCCTCATTTCTACTTTTGGGTTCTTCTAAACAATAAACATAAAACTGGAGATACATGCTTGGATGGAGAAGTGCTCTGACCCTTATTTCTTTTTCTTCAATCTGGTATCCAAAAATAGCTAAGATTTTCAATTTTGACTTTTTTGGCTTCAGTCCCAGAATTACCTTACTCCCAAGACATTTTCACAGAACATATTATTTCCCTACTTGCTGTCAACTTATAGATCACTGGTAAGGTTCAAACCAGTCAGTTCTCACAGCTGGAAATTTATTGAATGAACTCTTATAGTGCAGGCCTCCCAACCCAGTAGCTGTGATAGACAGTGACTTGATCCCCTGAAGTTCAAAGAATACCTACCTCTAGCTTCAGAACATCATGCTGAAGTTTACGCTGAAATTCAAGGAAGTTCTTGATTGTCAGTTTCCCCTTGAGATCAGCTCCAAAAAAGTAGGTTGTGAGGGCTGAACACAAGCCAGACTTGAGAGTGTTACCAGTAGTAGAACGATCTCTGTGACGCATACCCATACTGGTTTGGGAGCGAATGATGCTCTGAACCTAAGACATAAACAAACCCCAATCCAGGAAAAAATTACAAAGTGAAAAAATATAGAAAAGCAAGGAAAACTACCCATTATTTACTATTTGCTTGTACTGTGTTATAACTCTCTTTTAATGTTCAAAATAATCCTATGTAAGTCCTGTATCCTCATATCACACTTGAGGAATTTGAGGCACATAGTGTTAAACATGCTCAAGGACATGTATTTAGCAAGTAGCAGAACCAGGATTCTAACACAGACACCTGACACCTTTATAATTGGGATGCTCTTAAAAATCTCTCTTCAGAAAAGAGCATACATTTTGTTTTTGGGGCTGAAAACCTTTCACACAACACTAAAGTAATCATCAACCTCACAAGTACACTTTGCTTTGGGCTTTGGAGATTAATGGGCTGGACACTATGAAGAGTTGGAGCACTCTGGGAGGCTGAGACTCACAGTAATAACTTCCATATCTCAGAAGACTTAAACATTTCACACTTCTCATTACTGAGTCTCTGGTTGTGATGAGAGACACCATAGCTATAGGCAAATACTTGACATCTAAGACAGATGACTCACTTATTGGAATGATACATTCCCTTTTTTTTGACAAGTAGACATTTGTGATTAATAATAGCACAGTCCAAATAATATCCTACTTATGTGTAAACTATTATTAACTATAACTGTTCTTTCACTAAAAACTTTAGGAAGTATGTATCACAAGATTTTATGATTATGTGTATCAGAGATATTAGAATTTCTCAGTTGGTAAATATTTTCTTAATACATTTTTATTAATTAACTTGTTAGGGGTGTGACATGAGAGTCAATCAGAACATATCATTTTGGTCAGGGAAAAAGATGGCAGAGTAGGAAGGCAGTGTGGAAACCTCTCTCCCCCACCACACACACCAAGGAAGCAACTACATGAAATACAACTAATCCTGAAAATGATCTGAAGACTGCAGAACACACCACCTTACACCTGATGAAGAAGAGAAGACCCCACAGAGAAGGGTAAAGTGGCAGAGCCACAATCAATTTGGATTCCAGCTCTTCTCCCATTCCAGCCCACAGGCAGGAGGAAAGGAATGAAGAGGGGAAGAGATAATTGCTCAGGAATCTTTCACACCTGCCCCTGGAGATCTGCTTTGGGAACAGAAGTCCACTTTGCATCAGAGTTTGGAGATTAACAGAGCTGGACACCATGAAGAGTTGGAATACTCTGGGAGGCTGAGACTTCTGCTGCTTGCAGAGGACAGGCATCTCTGTAGGTCCCACTGAGACATAACCCCGAGCCAGCAGTTTGAAAGATTTACCAGCAGCAGGAGGGATGCCAGAGGGGTGAAAGTAGGATGGAGCTCTCTTTGCAGGAGAAATGGCAGGTAGACACGTCAGCCCAAATGGTCAGGTGCTTGCAGGGGCCCCAGATGCTTGTGGCTCATCCCTGAGGTGCTTCCCTGAACATCCACCTGAACAGCAGGGGTCAGACTTTGCTGCCTGACAGGAAGAGGGAGACTTTCCTATATACTTTTCTAAATACTAAAAACAAACTTGCAGAAAGATAAATCAGGAAAACAACTTCATTTATAATTTTAGTTATAATAAAATACCTAGGAATAAATATAACCAAGGAGGTGAAAGACCTCCTGTGAAAACTATAAGATAGTCATGAGACAAATTAAAGAAGACAGCAATAAATGAAAATCTATCCTTTGCTCATGGATAGGAAGAAATGATATTGTCAAAATGGCCCTCCTTCCCAAAACAATTTACAGATTCAGTACAATCCTTATCAAAATATCAACAGCATTTTTCAATGAACTAGAACAAATAGTTCCAAAATTCGTATGGAACCACAAAAGGCCCCAAATAGACAAAGCAATCCAAATTAAGAAGGACAAAGCTGGGGAGTATTACATTTCCTGACTTCAAGCTATACTACAAAGCTACAGTAAGCAAAACAGTATGGTACTGGCACAAGAACAGACCCACAGATAAATGGAACAGAATAGAGAGCACAGATATAAACCCATACATATATGGTAAATTAACATATGATAAAGGAGCATGAATATACAATGGGGCAAAGATAGCCTATTCAACAACTGGTGCTGGGAAAACTGGACAGCTACATGTAAGAGAATGAAGATGGATTATTGTTTAACTCCATACAAAAAAGTAAAGTTGAAATGAATCAAGGACCTGAATGTAAGTCATGAAACCATAAAATTCTTAGAAGAAAACATAGGCAAAAATCTCCTGAACATAAGCATGAGCAATTTTTTCCTGGACATATCTCCTCAGGCAAGGGAAACAAAAAATGAACAAGTGGGACTACATCAAACTAAAAAGCTTCTGTACAGCAAAGGACACCATCAGCAGAACAAAAAAGGCAACCTACAGTATGGGAGAATATATTCGTTAAGAATTTATCTGATAAGAGGTTAACATCCAAAATATATAAATAACTCATATGCCTCAACACCCCCAAAAGAAATAACCAAATAAAAAATGGATGGAGGACCTGAACAGACATATTTCCAGAGAAGAAATAGATGGCTAACAGGCACAAGAAAAAAAGGTGCTCCAGATCACTAATTATCAGGGAAATGCAAATCAAAACTACAATGAGATATCACCTCACATCAGTTAGAATGGCCACCATCCAAAAGGCAAGAAATAACAGTGTTGGTGAGGATGTGGAAAAACAGGCACCCTCCTACACTGTTGGTGGGAATGTAAATTGGTGTAGTTATTGTGGAAAGCAGTATGGAGGTTCCTCAAAAAAGCTAAAAATAGAAATACCATTCAACTCAGTAATTCCACTTCTAGGAATTTACCTGAAGAAACAAAATCTCTGATTTGAAAAGATATATGCACTCCTATGTTTATTGCTACTTTATTTACAATAGCCAAGTTATGGAAGCAACCAAAGTATCCATAAATAGATGAATGGATAAAGATGATGTGGTACATATATACCATGGAATATTATTCAGTCATTAAAAAGAAAAGAAATCCTGTCATTTGCAACAACATGGATGGACCTAGAAGGCATTATGCTATGTGAAATAAGCCAGGTGGAGAAAGACAAATACCATATGATTTCACTTATTTATGGAATATAAATACAAAGCAAAACACAATGAACAAAGCAGCAGTAGACTCATAGATATTGAGTAGTGAGTGACTGGTGGTTATCATGGGGGAGGGGTTGGGGTAGATTAGTGGGGAGGATGAGGAGGATAAAGGGGCACAAAAATTTTCAATCACAATATAAGTTGGTCATGGCGATTGTAGTACAGCATGGAGAATATAGTCAATGATTCTATAACATCTTCCTATGTAGATAGATAGTAGCTGCTCTAGTGGGGGTGAGGATTTAATAATATGGGTAACTTGAACCACTGTATTCTATACTTGAAACCACTATCAGACTGTATACCAATGATACTTCAATAATAAAAAGAGAAAAAACAAGAGGTCCAAGAGACAACCGAGTTCTGGGCAAAGTTAAATAAGAAGGATTATCACCTACACAAGGCCATTCCTTCAAGACTGAGATATTTGAACCCCCACCTCTATGTTCACTGAAGCATTATTTACAATAGCCAAGACATGGAACAACCTAAGTATCCATTGATGGGTGAATGGATAAAGAAAAATGTGTTAAATATATACAATGGAATATTATTCAGCCATAAAAAGGAGGGAAATCCTGCCATTTGTGATAACATGGATGGACTTTGAGGGCATCATAATAAGTCAGGTACAGAAAGACAAATACTGTATGATCTCACTTACATGTGGAAAAAAGTCAAACCCATAGAAAATGAGATCAGATTGTTGGTTGCCAGAGTGGGGAGTTTAGGGGCTTACAGAATGGGTGAAAGGGGTCTAAAGGTATAAACTTCCAGTTATAAGATAAATAAATCCTGGGAATGTAATGTACAGCACAGTGATATAGTTAACAGGACTGTATTTTATATTTGTAAGTTGCTAAGGAAGTAGATCTTAGAAGTTCCTACATCAAGAAAAAGTATTTTAACTACATGTGGTGATGGATGTGAATTAACCTTATTGTGGTAATCACTTCAGAATGCATACACAGATCAAATCATTATGTTGTACACCTAAAACTAATACAATGTTACATGTCAATTATATCTCAATAATAAAGAAAATGGTTCTATATAAAATAAAATAAAAAATTCTAAAATATGCTCTATTTATGATCATATGAGGTCACCTTATAATATCAGTAATGTGCAGGAATATGGAAAAGTGAAGGTATTAGATGGACATAGGATGTCAATTTGAATAAATGTCTATGTTTTTAAAAATATTTGTCTCTGTTCATTTCTTATTTAAAAATATACTGTACCTGATAATTTCTTCTACTTCCTTTTTGGCCCTTTCCTCATTTTGTTTACAAAATGCTTTCTCCCATGAACATATTTGTTTTCTGTTTTAAAACCACTTTTGATGATCAAAATAATTGTATCTGGAGAGGTACTATGGGCCTCCAATGACAAAAATTTTAAGGAAATGTAATCTCCCAGGATTCAGAAAAAAAAATGATATACATTTATGGCTGGAGCCTGTTACAAAAGAAGGCAGGTGCCATTTTTCTTCTCTTATTGAAATCTTTTCAGATCATATGTCACTCTTCCTTATATTCTGGAACTACCTGGCACAAAGGAGCTGTTTAATAAATGTTGACTGAATTCATGGTTGAACAGCCATAACTTAGCCACTCAGTATTACAGCCTAATTCATCTTGGGGAATCAGAGCAACCTTGACCTTAATCATAGGTTCAAATAATTCCTTAACATTTGGACTGAAAAGAAACAAAAAAAGCTTACCTATTAGAAGTGAGGATAATTTTGAAAAATGATAAATTAGGTATTTGAAAAATTAGATAGCATCTGAGTATACTGGCCAAAAGTAACTCCAAGGCATGTGAAAATGTGTTAAATATTCATGTATTTAAAGGAACTTTTCAGGATAACTTGCCTGTTCAAACTCCTCCATGTCTACTTCTCCATCTCCATTCAAGTCAAACATCTTGAAAGCAATTTCAAAATTTCTCTGAGGAGCTACAAGTTGAAAGGAAGGAAAAAGGGATAGGAAGGAAAGAGGAAGGGAGACAGGAAGGAAAAAGAAGAATAGTTAGAAGGAACTGGCCAAAAATAAAATATCATTCTTTTGAGAAAAACATGGTGAAACACTAAAATGTAGTAACAAGTCACAGCATGCCACCATATTTATCTAGATCAACCTTTTTGCAATACTCTTTCAGACCAAAAGGAAATTTTACTATAGTTAGTAAAGATAACACTTGTCTATCTTTGTGTTTCAACACTCTCTTAAACACTTCAAGTTTGCTTTCTTAGAAACCATCCTCTTAGCTGTATAATATTAATGATGTTGCTCTGTTACTTAAATATGGTATCGTTTGCCTGGGCATAAAAGTCTGTTCAGGGTGAGACATAGTGCTGCAAAGTAAGAACTTGAAACTCCAAGTCTTTATCTTGCCTTTTTAAAAGAAGCTAACTTTCCACTTTGTTCTTTCTAGTCTCTCCAATGTAAGTGCAATCAGTTCAGTGGATGTCATTCAGCTAGCAGGTTATTATCTATACTAGTTACTCATCATCACTATGGCTCTGTGGTAAGGCAGAAAAATGCCGTTAGTTACTCAGCCCCCTATGTCAACCATGTCAGCTGGATACACAAATTACTGAGCAAAGAATACTTAATTGTTAAAATTAAGCCGAAGTTTAAAGAACAAAATTAAAAATACAGTCTGAGAAGATTGTATTTTCTTTCCCTTAAGAAAGAGAGAAAGCTCCTTAACACTTCTTTAGTATTTCTGTATCAGTCATAATATACTTGTGCATTAGAATAAAATATAAATGTAAGAGCCCTCCTCATCATGATAAATGATCTAGAAAAGAAAACAAAGTTGTTCACTTTCTTCCTTTGGCGCTTTGAAGATAGAGATAGCTTTATAGAGCTGTAGAGAATAAACTAAAAATATATCTTATATATCTTAATATTATTGAATTAAATTTTCAGTTAGTATAATTTTTACAAAAAAAATTTAAAGATTATATGTGGAAAAAAATGTAAAAAAAGGCTTAGTACATTACGCATAGTTGTAGAGTCCATATTTCCATCTTGCTCATCAATTTGTCAACAGCAACACCTTCTAGCTTAAATTCCATTTTCAGCTAGCTAGCCAGCTAGGCTGGTAAGACCGGGTTTTTTAGTTGCTTGCCCTACTTGACAGTGGCTTCCAACAGGCTTGTTCTGTAGGGCACAAGTGCAATTGCTGGGAGGGATGCAGATGGGATGGGGGAATTAGATTTTTGTATATTTGTTGCTACTTTAAAAGTGTTTCCTACTTGTTTCGATGCTGTCTTTTACTCAAGTTACTATGCGCCAACCATTGAGCTGGATAATTTAAAGCTGTTGATTATCTGATTTTGTACTCTCAATCCTGAAAATTTTTACTTCTTTATTTTATAAACAGAGTAGGAACCTGGAGCTCAAAACCACCTAATGACTTGCTCAAAATGGCACAGCTCGTATGTGACAGAACTGTAAGTGAACTTAGGTCAATGCTGACTCCAAAGCCCATAGAATTTTCACTGTGTTCCACGGCCTCCAATATGATGACAGTGGTACTTAAGATAATAAACACATACTTTTTATTGTTTTAATCTAGAAACAAAACAAAAAAGATGACTCAATGGTTACATCACTCTCTGCAAAGCTGAGAGTTCCAAGTTGTTCATCTCAAGGACATACCAATGCCTAAGAAGCATTGCATATGCCATATGCTTACTGCATATGCCATATGCTCAGTAGACTTGGCTGCACTGACTGGAGACCCCTAAGCTACATTAGACTCTCAGATAGGTTTGTCACATGTTTTTAAAAATTCTGAATATTAATTTAGTTAGACAGGAATGCACTCTGCTACTGTCTCACACTTGGCCCACTTCACTCATATATGTTATTTGCTTAGTCCTCATAGGTACCTGAGATTATAACAACTGCAGATAATACGAAGCCACTGAAAGTTTTTTTTAAATTAAGGTATTACTGATACAACTTTATGAAGGTTTCACATGAGCAACATTGTGGTTACTACATTCAGCCATATTACCAAGTCACTGAAAGTTTTAAGAAGGTGAGTAACACAATCAAACAGGCATTTATAAGGGACTTCTCTGGTTAGAGTGTGAAGGAGGAGTTGGAAAACGATAACCAGTTTCAGAGAAGATCATACAAGCCTCTCTAAATGTTGCAAATGTGAACTGAGGTGATTGATGGCAGTGATAATGGGGAAGAGAAAACAAATTTAAATAATTTAAGGAGGCAGAAATTCTATACATTAATGATTAATTAGCTGTGATTAGTTGAGAGTAGAAAAGGCTGACAGCATGACTGACTTAGGCTATTGGGTAGCTTGCATGTCACTGACCAAAACATAAAATACATGTAAAAGGTTTGAGAAGTAAAGTGAGCTCAGATAGGGTCTGCTGAATTTAAGGGGTCCACATCATGCTCGAATGGAAATGTTCACGAGATAGTTGGAAATATAGGTCTAAAGCTTAGGAGACAGATGTTAAAGCTGGGATCATTAGCATCAATGGGGCTAGCTGCACAGAGCCTGAAATCAAGTTGCTCTGGGAGAACCAAGGGTTCAGGAGAAGGGTAAGAAAAGGATAAAATGTAGTTGGAAGCCAGTATTTTAAGGTGGAAAGGAAGCAGTGGCAGAGGAGATTGCATCATAACATCAGGAAAAATAGAAGACAGTCAAGATGAATAGAAATAGGGAAAAATTTGGCAAGAACCAGTCAATGTGTTGCCACACATGAATTAAACAGCATTCCCATTTCCTACCTCTACTGATTACAGAGTGCTGAAAATTCTAGCTTTACATAATCTTTTATTCTTACTGTTCTGTAAGTTCTATGAAGGCATGTGCCTGGTCACCATTTAAATGACTGAATGAGTTATTTTAGCAAATCGTAGTTAGTGTCCTCCTACAACTAAGGTTAAATTCATTTTACCAAACATAGCACACCCAGTGTTCCCTGAGGTTTTTATATCTTTTTATACTGGCTTACTTTCAAGCCGAGTATTTGCTTTCTGTGAGGCTACTCAGAGTGTTTATTAAAGTGTACGTGCTGACACTCCAGAGGCTGAGCACCTTTGTGTGTGTCACTGACAAGGCAGGTGAGGACAGCAGCCTTACATGCTCTCATTGAGGCCTTAGCAGTCTGTCAGGGAAGGTCCTTCCAGGAGTGGGTCTTTCAGCCTAGTCATTCAGTCTTTACAGGCTAATGATGTCAAAGCATTTGAGACAAATAAATAACTAGCTTGCTTTAAGTGAGACAGGCTACACAGGAACACACTGTCAGGCAATTCTCTTGTGCTTCCCCATCTCTCCTTTAACGTAGGCTTCAGAGTTTTAAAATCTAGCTGTTCTGGAAAGCTTTAAGGTGTCCTGGCTTTATGCCAACTCACAATCTATTTCCACAGGAAGGTACTGAAAGGGGAATTCTTTTGAATCCCAGGCTACTTATAGAGTGAATTGTAAAGATTTCTTTCCATTTCCAAAATGACTGTAACATATGTCAGAACTGATTAAAACAGAAAGATTCTATATAAAGTTCATTACTATACATCTTTCACTCAGAATCCCATGACAATCTTTACTATTAGGAAATGGAGCTATATTAGGTTTCTAGTTCAAAATCTATTTTTACATTATCTATCATTAACAATAATGATAACAATAACAACTCTAAACTGTTGGGAGCACAGATTTTTCTACTTTGCTTTAGTAGTAAGAAAAAAAATCCTTCTATGTGTAGTAAGTTAAATAACCAGACTGCAACAACACTCACTATCTCAAGATTTTCCTGACAATTTCACTTATTGTTCTTTAATAGAAAAATACACAAGATGAGGTTTCTAATTCTGGCTCTTCCAACAACATAATGAGTCACTGTGCCTTAAATTCCTTTTTGGTAGTACTGACGGAATGAACAAAAAAGTGAATAAGTTAGAATCTAAACTAGCTTATTTTTGGCTGATTTGATTCTCATACCACAGAATTCCTACTTGCATGATTCCTGTTTTAAAATGATTCTCTAGGACAAATGAAGTAATTAATATGTATTATCAGAGAACTCTTGAGTTAGAAAAAAGCAGACTTTAGAATATGAGAAATCTCTAGTCAAGGGTGAACCGGCCTGATGGATCTGTAAGGATGGCCACATAGCCTCTGATGGTTTCTGGGAAGAAGGCCAACCTTCTGAGGTCTAACCATTGTTGGCTATATTAATTGAGCTTTTTTCCTATGCAAAGCCTAAATCTAATTGTGCAGTTCCTACAAGTGACCTAGTTTAATTTTCTAGAGAAAGAAAAATATATTTGTTTCTTCACCTATATAATGGCCCTCTGACTACATTACAAACTTACTAAGGTTTCTCAGAATTTGCTTCCAGAACTTCAATATTCTAAGAGCCCTGCTCTGCAGTACTTTAGATGGCCAATGTCTCCCATAAATGCTGTAACCTAAAAACAGTTAATTCTGGAATGACTTATCCTTCCTAGAAATAACAGGCCTGTTACTCTGAAGACTAGTATACTAGCATTATTCTTACATGAGGGCTTAGTGTTTTGCTTTCTATATAACATTAATCTTGGGGAAAGGGGGAGAAAAACCTACAAGATTATAAAGCAGACTTTAGAATATGAGACCTCTCCCTCAATTCTCCTGAATTCTTTAAGGTATGATGGCTAGGTGCTGTCTGGAAGAAATCTTTCTGCCCCTTAAACAGAGCAGAGGGAAAAAATCCTCATGGTACAATGGGGTTGCCGTACTACAGTATTTCCTTGGATGATATAGCTTCAGAAGAATGCTACACAAAATGAAAATATTCTAAGAACTATGTTAAACACACTTGAACAACAGCAGCTCAATTTTCTTTTCATCAACCTAGTCACCTTGTAAGTCTGATTTCATTTCTGTTAAAAACTATTTTACAGGTACTCTTTGATCATCTGCTGGCTTTTT